TTGACTCAGCCTCCTGAGTAGCTGGGACTATAGGCATGTGCCACCACACTTGGCTAATTTTTTAAAAATTATCGTTTAGTAGAGACAGGGTCTTGCTGTGTTGTCCAGGCTGGTGTTGAACTCCCGGCCTTAAGCAGTTCTCCCATCTCAACCTCCTGAGAGGAAGTAGCTGGGATTACAGGTATGTGCCACCATGCCTGGCCAATTTTTTAAAATTTATTTATTTTTTTAGTAGAGATAGGGGCTTGCTATGTTGCCTAGGCTGGTTTTGAACTCCTGGCCTCAAGCCATCCTCTCACCTCAGTCTTCCAAAGTACTGGGGTTATAGGCATGAGCCACTGCACCTGGCCTCAAGAGTTTTTGTGTTTTTTTTTTAAGCTGCAAATGCCTAGCCAAAGTCAAGGACCTCTGAACTAGAGGGTTCCACTGACTGCACTTCCGCAGGGGGGGATGGTATTCATAGTCTGTATGGCAGCCTTGAGCAGAGGTGACACTTATACACCAGGTTATGATACAGCAGGGGAGAGGAAATGCTGATCTCCCCAGATGAACCTCCTAGATTCTTGAGAGGTGATTCAAATGCTAATCCAGCCGCTTCCTGTGGGCACCCCAGCATGGGCATTTTGGGTTGGAATGCAGTTGGCCCCTGAGGGCTGGGAGTTCTGTGAGGAAAGGGGAGACAGTTGTGGCTCCTAGGCTAGATCACATGTGTACCCTAGCTGCACATGTGTCCTGAGAACATCCTGGCTCCCAAAGGGCTCAGTAGAGGCGCAGTTTTGCTTTCCAAGTGTTAGGACACACTCCCAGCGGGGCCTACAGAATGTCAGGTCAGGCCCACTGGGTGTGTGGGTGTGTCTGGTGTGCAACCTGGTGCTGCGAGAAAGATGCGAAGAATTGCAAAAGTTAGATTAGAATATAGTTTATCTAAAAACTAAATTAGAAAGAAAGAGAGAGGAGATTCACCTCCCCAAGGTAGGGGAGGGGGCCAAAGCTTACAAAAGCATGGCCTGGCCATAACTCAAAGAGCACATGGCCACACCATAGTTTAGCAAGGCAGTGACTGCTGGTTGCTCATGGTTGAGTCCTTTTAACCCTTCTCTTTGATGGGGGAAGGTCATTAAGGTGACTGGTGGTCTGTTCCACATCATCACAAAGGGGCAGGTAAGTGCAGGTACCAATGTCAGGTGATGAACAGCAGGCAGATGGGTGGGTTAGTCACATGATTGCTGCCGAGGTGGTGGGCTAGATGGGAGGAGACAAGGGGAGGTGTTTTTCCACAAGAGACCTGTCAGACATTTCCAGTGCACAAGCTCCTTAGCAAAAAGGTGGCCTTAATTATCATTTCTATGACTTCAGCCAGCTAAGGGGTGATCTTTGACAGAAACCTGAAAGTTTCTTAGAGATGATTATGCTAAACCCCGAATTGAAAGGTTGGGCTGCCCTTGTCTTGTATCTGATGGAGATTTGCTGAGGGGGTGGGGTAGGCTGCCAGCTTGACCTGCAGTAAAATGTCTGAAAGCTTCCTAAAACCTACCTATTGGAAATTTATCTCTTTATGTCTAATCTGTGCTAGATTCAAAGCGTGTCAGTTTAAACAAAAATGACTATGCTGAGGCAAAATGTGAACTAAGTTTATTCTAAATTTCTTCCCTCCTTTCACCAAGGAACACCGTTCGTTAACCAAGTATAATAAATACATTCCAGGCCAGGCACGGTGGCTCACACCTATCATCTCAGCACTTTAGGAGGTCGAGGTGAGAGGATTGCCTGAGCCCACAGGTTCAAGACCAGCCTGAGCAACTTGATGAGACCTCATCTCTACAATAAGTCAAAAATTGGCTGGGCGTGGTGTCACGTGCCTGTAGTTCCAACTACTTGGAAGGCTGAGGAGGAAGGATCACGTGAGCCCAGAAGGTTGAGGCTACAGTGGCTGTAGCATGCCATTGCACTCCAGCCTGGACAACAGAGTGAGACTCCAACTCATAGATAGATAGATAGATAGATAGATAGATAGATAGATAGATAGATAGATAGATAGATAGATAGATAGATCTAACATTATAGTTTTGTTTTGTTTTTTTGAGACAGGGTGTCACTCTTTCACCCAGGCTGGAGTACAATGGCGCGATCATAGCTCACTGCAGCCTTGAATACCTGGGCTCAAGCGATACTCCTGCCTCAGCCTCCCCAGTATCAGTGCCAGGGCCTGCCCACCACAGGTATGCACCACTGTGCCCAGACTTTTACTTATTTGTTTTTTGTAGAGATGAGGTCTCCCTTTATTGCCCAATCTGGTCTCGAACTTCTGATCAAGTGATCCTCCCACCTCAGTCTCCCAAATTGCTAGGATTGCAGGCATCAACCTCCACACCCGGCCCATTCCAGTATTTACTTGCATATTTTAAAGAGTATCCAAGACACTCCCGCCCATGACCTCGGCAATACTTCTTCAATGCTTCTTCCCCTGGACACCTGGCTTCTCCCATCCCACCACATGCCAAGTCTTCCCCTTCCCAGTCCTCACGTGAACTGTGGGCTCAGGCTTCTGTCTCTGTTCCCCTCCCACTTTCTCCTGGTCCTGCCTTTTCCAAGCAAATCTCAGCCTTGCCTGGTGACGGTCCCTTTCTGTACCCCCCACTCTCAGTTATCCTGATTTGTGGAACGAGGCCAAGACTTGGGGATGGGGCAGAACAGGGGCATTTCCCCTAGTGAGCAGGGAAGGGTGGGTGTCCTGCGCCCAACCCTGTGTGTCTGACTGTCCTGCTGGCAAGCCTGGGTCTTTAGAAAAATCTTGTCCAGCTGTCTCAGGGCTTCCCAGCTGTGCTGTTGGGTCTCAAAGTGAGAATGGCGAGACCCACATAAGACCAGCTCCATGAGGCAGCCATATCTCAAGGGCATTCCCGAGGGCAAGAGGAATCCTGGAGAAAGAGGAGTCAGGACTGCAAGGCCCAGCCTTCTGTCTGTTGGCAATCTCCGCAGAAAGGGCGTCCTGTTGTAATGGGGGCCAGTCCAGTGCGTGCAGGATGAGAATGTGTCCCTTGATGGAAGACTGTGACTGTGCAGTGCTGGTGGTGGCTGGGAATGACCCTGGCATGAAGGTGGGCAAGGGGCCTGAAGACACAGCTGTGTGCCCTTATGGAGCTCACGCTGGAAGAGGCGAGGAGATGGGCTTGGGCCTGAAGGACGTTGCCTGGAGACCAATGGCAGCACTCAAAGCCACAAAGGCACTTTTGCCGTTAACATTTAGAACAAAAAGAAGAGAAAGCCCCGCATGCCTGTCCGTGGGTGGTAGCATGGGCCCAGCTGTGGAAGGAAACTGCTTTTCAGCTTGGCAGGAGGGAGCCGAGCCAACAAGGACGTGGCCAGGGGGCCCAGCCACCCACCAGCCCTAGTGTGACCAGGCTGCGGCCTGGAGAGAGACAATAGCAGGAGAAGGAGAAGTCTCAGGTGTCCCCTAAGCCAGGGGAGGAAGACTCCTCGGAGAAGGCCTTGGGCAGGAAATCGAGTCCAGAAGCAAGATGGCAGCGTGGTCAGTCAGAGTGCAACACATGAGGTCAGCCTCGGACAGCCTGGCCAGATCAGGATTGGGGATGCAGATGCTCAGTGGATCTTTATGTATAAAGAGGCGACTCTAGAAGGATTCACAGTGGGTGTCACTTCTGTGGCCAGGAGGAAGCCGGTGAGCCTGGGGCAGGGCTACAAATGGAAATGAAGCAGAACCACCAACTCCAAGAAACCCACTGCACTTTAACTTGCTTGTGGAGGGTAATGACTAATGACTTTTCTCTCAGCTGAAGTCAAATATTTCTTTTTTTTTAAGTCAGATATTTCACCTGGACGGTGGAAAGGTCTGGAAAGATATGCTAATTATCTCCTTGTCTGGGACATGCGCCTAGCCCCGCCGCTGTGACTCCAACTCCAGTGACAACCCAAAGACAGTCCTTTAAGGGGAGAGACCCCAGGTCTGGCCTGGACTCTGTCCCAGCCATGCACCCAGCTGGTCCTGTGACACTGGGCATGTCGCTTCCTCTGGCTGACTAGGCCTACAGGCCATTCACGGGAGGTCCCAAGCCGGTCACCCGAGGTTAAACACCTGGATGTGGCAGCTGAGTGGACAAGCAGTTAATTGTGTATTGCCATCAAAGGCCCAGCCTCCGCCCCTGTGTCTATTGCCATCAGAGGCCTGGGCTCCTCTCCCTGACCTGGCTCGGGGACACCCTGAGCTGGAGCCCTTCCTCCTTGTCTGGGCCTTTTCCACAGTGCTCCTGCCAGGACCTAGAGGCAGAGGAAAGAACAGAGCCTCCTGCCTCGCCTGGAGGCACAGCTGGGTGCCCAGGCCTCCGCTTACAGCAGGGACCTGCGGGTCCGCCTAGAGTGGCCTTCGGGCAGCTGAGCCGTCCTCCCCCTTCCCTCCGTGCAGGAACCTGGGGCCTTGGCTGATTCTGGGTGCAAGAAAAGCCAGGGTCCTGGCCCCTCCAGAGAACCTTCTAGGGTTCCGGGCAAGGATCTTTCCTTCTGCCCCGAGACTTTGGTGCTTCTTCTGAGTCTGCTCAGAGTCAAAATTAGGGGCCGACGTCCCAGGGCCTGCCCACCACAGAGCCGGGCCCCACTGAGCCTCCAGAAGCAGCGTGTGACTCGTCCGTGCACACACTCAGCCTGTGTTAACACTGGGTCATGGTGCATGCCCCCACATGCCCTTATGAACTCACCCTCCCTCACCTACTCCCTGAGGCATGTGCCCAGTTCACACAGTTCACACATGTGACCTTCACACGTGACACTCCCAATTCACACCCATTCACACACAACCACCTTGTACACATGGTTCTTTCCCAATGACATGCCCTCCCTCACATGCATGCAGATGCCCTCAGCTGCACCAGCTTGCTCGAGGTCACATACTCACACGCTTGTGCACGTGTGCTCCTGGACACGTGCTCCCCTGGCCACACCCTCCTGGGCCCTCTGAGCCCCTGACTGTCGGTTTCTCTGTGTTGCAGTCCTCCCGAGAGGTGGATGACAACAGCAGCGAGTCCAGTGACCTCCAGCTCGAGGGCCCCAGCTCCCTCAGGGACCTGGACGACAACCTCACCGATCCCCAGGCAGAAGACAGGCCCCTGGTTTTCTTTGACCTCAAGCTTGACAATGAAAGTGGGTTCTCCTGGGGCCGCTGCCACCCCTTTCTAGCACAGTCTCTGAGTTCCCAAGAGAAGTATGGGCAGAGCCCTAAGCTTGGGCCAACGGCCACAGCCAGGGTGTTCTGGCTCACCTGGGCTCCCAGGGTGTCACTTGGTGGTTTGAATAAGGACATCCACGTTGCCGAGTGCCTGAACTTGTGAGGGAGGAGGATGTCTCCACAAGTTCACACCTGACCAGTCCTTCTAGACAAAGCCCTGGAAACACTTCTAGACAGCAACACGACGGGTGACCCCTAGCTAGACCACTCATCCAGGCAAGACCTCAGCCATGCTGCCCACGCCTGTGTACAGGACCCGTCCCGCGGGTGGCTGCAGGACCATCCACAGAGCCAAGGTCACAGAGAGATTGGGCTCCTTGTCCAAAGCCCTTGACCCTCCCCAGCCAGAGCCCCAGGCCATGCCTGCAGCATGGACTCAACACAGGGTAGCCCAGCTAGTCGAAAACAGTGGATGTTTCCATGGTACAGGAAAGGTGTTTTCAGACCTCAGTGGAGGCTCTGGGCCATGCTCCCCGTGGAGCAGACGGCAGGGCTGCTGGCCCAGGACTCTGGCCGGGCTGGGAGCCTAAGCTACATGACCGAGGGGCTTGGAATGCAGGGGGTGGAGGCTGGGAGGAGGCAAGAGGAACCCCGATGGCTTTGGCAGACTCTGGGCTGGTGGTGGGGTAGGGAGGACTGGATTCCCCACAAGTGAACAGGGTCTTTGGGGGCAGCCCGGCCTAAGCCCCCGCCGGCCCCTGTCCCATCTGTCTGCCGGGGGCTTGGCTGTGTGTGGACACTGAGGTTGGCTCCTGCCAGCAGGCCCCAAGCAGGCTCTCTAGGTGGGGGGTCGGCAGCCCCGGAGGTCCCCCACCCCCACCCCAGCGTCTCCCGTGCCCGGGGCCTCACCTTGCCCTTCTCTCCTGCCCAGCCCAGGAGATTAGCCAGCTGGCAGCTGTGAACCAGGAGAGCAGGTTCCGTGTGCTCATCCAGCCTGAGGCCTTCTTCCGCATCTGCTCCAAGGCCGTGTCCCTGGAGGTGGGGCTGCAGCACTTCCTCAGCTTCCTGGGCTCCATGCGCCGCCCCGTCCTGACCTGCTACAAGCTGTGGGGGCCCGGCCTCCCGAGCTTCTTCCGGGCCCTGGAGGACATCGGTAGGCTATGGGAATTCCAGGAAGCCATCTCGGGCTTCCTGGCCGCCCTGCCCCTCATCCGGGAACGTGTGCCCATGGCCAGCAGCCTCAAGCTCGCGCACCTGGCCAAGACCTACCTGGCCAGAAACATGAGTGAGCGCAGTGCCATGGCCGCTGTGCTGGCCATGCGTGACCTGTGCCGTCTCCTGGAAGTCTCCCCGGGCCCCCGGCTGGCCCCCCACGTCCACCCCTTCAGCAGCCTGCAGTGCTTCGCATCCCTACAGCCCCTGGTGCGGGCGGCCGTGCTGTCCCGGGCTGAGGTCCGCCTCCTGGCGCTCCGGAATGTGGGCTTCCCGGAGCTGCTGGCCGCCTACCGCCGCGACCCGCAGGGGGGCCTGAAGAGGTACAGTCGCCACCTGAGCCTGCAGACCCCCGCGTCACCCCCCGCCCAGCCCACTCTCAACCTACAAGCTCTGGGCGCCTACTTCAATGGCTTGTTGGAGGGGCCGGCCTCGGCACAGGCAGAAGGCGTCTCTGTTCCTCTAGCCAGCCACAACCTGGCAGAGAGGGCCTCCCAGCAGAGCTGAGAGGAAGGGACATCGGGCTGGGGTCTCTGGTGGGCAAAGAGGAATGGGGGGGTCCCTGAGCAAGGCCCCACCTCCTGCAGCATGGTCAAGTGGTGAGGGACCCAGGTACCAGGCCCTGGTACCCAACACTCAGCTGTCAGTTGGTCCAGAAGCAGTTCCTTCTCCTAGCCTCCTACAGAGAAGGTTCTGAGGCCAAGCATCCACCACCTCAGGGTGCATCAGACCTTGGGCCCCTACATCCAGGGGCCACACTTAGGGAGATCCTAAATGGAGAAGGTGTGACCTCTGGGCTCTCTACGTGGCCCAGTCTTGCTCTGGCCATCCTACCTGCCACTACTGGGGTGTTCTTGCAGCCCCTCTCTGGTCCCAGCCAGCTCCCCGGGGATCTGTGAACAGCTTCCACAGAGAGGGTCTGAGGTGGTGCTGACTGCAACCCAGAAGCCCCATGACCACCCAAAGTGCCTTTCACACTGTTGCCAGTTTGGGTTCTTCCAGCTGTCCCCTTCCCATTTCTCCCCAAAGGGGCTGCATATCAGCAAAGACAGAGCTGACCCCACATAAGTCCCTACTTCCAAGCATGTCCCGGCCACCCGGCCAGCAAATGCCTCTGCCTCGCCACAGCTCTGCCCTCTGGTCCTCAAGCCACCAGACCACTCACAGCATGGCCCCCTGCTCTCCTGGCACTGCCCAGCCCTCAATTCTCACAAGGAATATCCCTAGTAGCATCTGCCACTGCTTACTGTGGTCCAGGGACCTGCAGTGTGGGAGGCTGAGGTGGGAGGATCACTTAAACCAAGTTCAAGACCAGCCTGAACAACACTGACAAGACAAAAAGAAGAAAGAAAAAGAAAAGAGACACGAGTCTATGGACTCTGCCTCAGACCTCCAGACCCAGACTCCTCGGGGTGAGGCTTGGCAGTCTGTGTTTCCACCATTCTCCGGATGATTCTGGTGGGCGCTCACATTTGAGGACCACTCCTCTGTCAAGCCACTCCTCCAAGGGGAAGCCATGTGGGCACCAGAGAAAGTCCTGACCCTGTGGCTGTGTGCATCGTGTGACCTGGAAAAAGGCCCCACCCAGAGTGCCGGTGTCCCCACCTGTGAAATGGGCTGGCTGGCCTGTGTGGTCTCAGAGCCTCCATCCAGCTGGGCCATTGTGTGTTTTAGGAAGAACAACAGGCCTTCAAGGCAGAGGACAGGAAGCTTTCTCAACCTTGAACCCCAGCTCCTGTCCTAAGCCATCGGCCCCCAACCGTGTGGTCACACCCGAGGTCAACAGCAGAACACAGGCGGGCCAGGGCTGTCCCTCTGGCAAGCAGAACCACTGTCGCCTCCTCCTCCCTCTCCCCCATCCCTCCTCCTGGCTGCTGTTCCTGAGATGCTTCCACAACAACCCAGGCCCCCAGCCTCAATGGCTGCCAGTCTCAGCTTTCGCGAGTGTGAAATGTGCATGCCCACGCCTCAGCCCCCTCCTGCGGGCATCCCGAGGATCCACTGAGGGGTTCCGTAGGGACATATTCCCACAAGGGGTGTGCTGGCTCTAACAGTGAACTCAGCTGCTCTTAGAATAAAGTGCGGATGCCAGACTCTTAAAGCAGGTGCCGGTGCGGAAACAGGCTGATGGGTGTCAGGGCGGGAGGAAGGAGGCTGGGCCCCCAACCTGGCTGTGCTGATGTCCCAGCAGCTGGCAAGCCAGTGCCTGGACCACTTCTTCCTATTGGCTCCCCCTCCACCCAGCCCTGGGCTGAGCAGCGCCCCCTGGCGTCCAGGCCACCCTGCTGACTGTCTTCTGACGCGCTTGAGGGGCTGCCCCGTCTCCATGGTCACAGCCTTCAAAGAAGATGTCCGTCTTGAAGGCCTGATACGCCCACTGCAGACTCTGCCCTCCAGGGAGCCCTCGCAAAGCTTCTTGCCTGGAGGGGGGGCGGGTTTCTTGGGCACTGACCAGTGGGTGCTTGCCCAGCGCAGCTGTGCTGTGTGGGGTCTTTCAGGCCTCAGCAGAGTGGAGAGCCCCTCATTACTCAGCTGAGACCTCGAGGATGCGAACCCCCGTTTCAAGTGGGGAGACCCAGGGCAAACTTTCCTCAGGACCACCTCCCAGGGGGGCCTCGTGGAGGGAAAGAAATGCCAACTTCAAGAATTGCCTCATGCCAGGCGTGGTGGCTCACGCCTGTAATCCCAGCACTTTGGGAGGCTGTGGCGAGAGGATTTGCCTGAGCAACCGAGACCAGACTGGGCAACTTGACGAGATCTCATCTCTACAATAACACAAAAAATTAGCTGGGCATGATAGCGCGCCCCTGTAGTTCCAGCTACTTGGTAGACCAAGGCGGAAGGATCACTTGAGTCCAGCAGGTCAGGGTGGTTGTGAGCACACCACTGCACTCCAGCCTGAGTGACAGAGTGAGGCTCCGACTGAAAAAAGTAAAAATTGCCTCCAGTAGAAGTTGGGAATCAGAGGCCCAGGTCTGTAGGTGCTCCGCCACTGGCCTCCACTTGAGCATCTTGTGTTCCTGCCTGTGTCCCTGGAGCGACAGGTGGCAAAGCCCTGAAGAGGAGAGGGGAGGGAGGCCAGGACACTGGCAATGTGTGCTGAGTGTGTTGTCTGGGAAGTCATGGAGGGAACTCAGGTTAATCCCTGCAGGAATCCCCACAACATGAGCATAATAGGAACGAGCCCACCCTGGCCCAGGGGTAACGAGAATTGGGTCCCTGCCTGCTCCCCACCTGTCCCAGGTGCCCACACTCCATTACTAGGGTTTCATTCTCTCAGCCTGACCCTTTGACCAGAAATGTCAAGTCCAGATGTGTTGTCTGCACTTTGTCTTTGAATTATATCTCAGGTTTGCACATGTCACATGAGCTTAGTGGGCCAGAAATCAGGACACAGAGTTTCAGTCCTCCCTAGTAGACTGTATCCCTGGTCTGGCATGTGGAACTCCCTGACTCTCAGGCTCCTCTTCGGCAAAACAGGATAATGCAGATCATTTTTACTTCAAGGGATCTTTGCGTGAACCAATGAGAAAATGTGAAGATTGCTTTGTAATATATAAAGAGCCACACAAGTTTGAGATTTTGTTGCTTTATAAGTTGCTTTATAAATTATAGAGAAATAAACATATCTTAGATCTTGGAGGAAAAAAGGTACATGGGTTTGTTTTCAGGGGAGTAAAGACTAAGATCTGGCACCACACGGAGCAGACAACCAGGAGGGGTCTTGGGGACTAAGGGAGCCAAAGAAAATGAGGTCCCCTTGGAGTGGCTGGGCAGGGCAGTAGGTGGTGCTGTGCTCCCAACACACCCAGGTGGGACATTTCAGGTGGGACCTGGAGCAGAGAACAGCCTTCCCGTGGCAGCTCTGCCCAGTCCTGCTCCACAGCCTCCCTCTGTGACCCAAGGACTCACATCCTTGGAAGGTCACTGAAAAATCTGTCCAAGTGCAGGGGTTCACACCTATAATTCCAGCACTTGGGGAGGCTGAGGCGGGAGGACTGTTTGAGAACAAGAGTTTGAGACCAGCCTGGGCTACATAGCAAAATCCCCATCTCTCTTTTAAACAAGGTGGGGGGGGGAGCGTGGTGGCATGTGCCTGTAGTCCTAGCTACTTGGGAGGCAGAGGTGGGAGGAGGATCACTTGAGCCCAGGAGCTCAAGGTTACAGTGAGCTATGATCATGCCACTGCACTGCAGCTCTGAGTGACAGAGCAAGACCCTGTCTCAAAAATAAAATACAATAAAAAATAAAGAAATCTGCTTCGACCCAAACTCTAACCTGGCTCTCACTTTCGGCTGCGGAACCGCCCTGTACCCGCCCCTCCTCCTGCCCCGCCCCTACTCGGACTCTCAGACTCGCTCTGACTCCCAGCCCAGCCTTGACCACTCTCCATGCCTGAGTCTAGCCTGCACCCCGTCTCCTCCATGACCTCAGCCATGTCTTCATCCCACACCCTGGGTGCCACCAGCTCCTGTGCTTAGAGCTAGGGGGTCCTTTCTCGCCTTTCCTCGCTCCTCACAACTAGGGACACTCCGCAGCTAGTGCGCCTCGGACCCGGACCGAGAGGCCCCATGCGTCAAGTCCGAGAGCGGGGTGCGCCGGGGACCCTGTCCACCGAGAAGGAAAGCCCAGCTAGGGCTGTGCCCAGGCTCTGCCAGCAGAGGGCGCCACAAGACCTGCCGGCCAGGCCTGACTCTGCGGGCCGCATCGCATCTGGGTGGGCCACGATGGGGCCGGCCTTGAGGCTGGGGTAGCACCGTCCTTTCTGAAGTGCCGTGCATACCTCCGGGATGTGGGAGATAACTTTGGGTAGGTGCTGCGTGGAGAAACATTTTGAAAATGTGAGGCCGGGCTTGGTGGCTCAGCGTGTAAATTGCAGCACTTTGGGAGGCCAAGGCGAGTGGATTGCCTGAGCCTGCAGGTTTGAGACCCACCCGGACAACTTGGCAAGACCTCGTCTCTACAACAAATCAAAAACTAGCCGGGCGTGGTAGGGCGCGCCTGTAGTTCCAGCTACTTGGAAGGCTGAGGCAGAAGGATCCCCAGAGCCCAGCACCAGCAGGTCAACGCTGAGGTGGCGGTGAGTGTGCCACTGCACTCTAGCCTGGGTGACAGAGTGAGACTCCAACTCCAAAGAAAGAAAGAAAGGAAGGAAGGAAGGAAGGAAGGAAGGAAGGAAGGAAGGAAGGAAGGAAGGAAGGAAGGAAGGAAGGAAGGAAATGTGAAACCGTTTATATTTATTTTAACATCTATTAGAAACAGACCAGGCACAATGGCTCACGCCTTGTAATCCCAGCACTTTGGGAGGTTGAAGTAGGAGGATTGCTTGAGCCCTGGAGTTAGAGGCTGCAGTGAACTATGATTGCACCATTGCACTCAGCATGGGTAACAGAGTGACACCCTGTCTCTTCAATTAAAAAATAAAATAAAACCCAATAGAATAGAGACAATATCACCAATCCATGCGAACTGTGATTTCTGGGATGTAGTCGGATTCTTTCAAGACC